CCCCAAAACCCCAAAACCCCAAAACCCCAAAACCCCTCCTTCTACGTCATAAATAGATTTTCAGTTAATATCTAAAAATAAGATATGGAAGGCGGAAAGATTAAAGTAACCAACCCCATTGTAGAACTTGATGGAGACGAGATGACCAGGATCATCTGGCAAGTTATCAAAGACGAACTTGTTCTCCCATACTTGGACCTAGATATTAAGTACTATGATCTTGGTATCCAGAAGAGAGATGAGACTGATGACCAGATTACTATTGAAGCAGCTGAAGCTATTAAAGAGTTTGGAGTTGGTATTAAGTGCGCTACTATTACTCCAGATGAAGCTAGAGTTGAAGAATTTGGACTTAAGAAGATGTGGAAGTCGCCAAACGGTACTATTAGAAATATCTTGAACGGAACTGTCTTCAGAGAACCTATCGTCATTGATAATATTCCAAGACTCGTTCCAGGATGGACTAAGCCAATTATTATTGGAAGACATGCCTTTGGAGATCAATATAAAGCTACCGACTTCATTGCTGACAAGCCAGGAAAGTTCAAGATCCAATTCGTACCTGAAGATGGATCTGAAGCCACTGAGTTGGATGTCTTCGAATTCAAGGATAGAGGAATCTTGATGGGAATGTACAACACTGACGAGAGTATCAAGGGATTCGCACACTCCAGTTTCAAGTATGCTATCAACAGAAAGTACCCTCTCTATCTCTCAACCAAGAACACCATCCTCAAGAAATACGACGGAAGATTCAAAGACATTTTTGCTGAAGTTTACGAAGAATACAAGGAAGAAATGGAAAACATCGGTATCTGGTATGAGCACAGACTCATTGATGATATGGTTGCCTACGCTCTCAAAGCTGATGGAGGATTCGTCTGGGCCTGTAAGAACTACGATGGAGACGTCCAATCTGACACTGTTGCTCAGGGATATGGATCTCTTGGATTAATGACTTCCGTGCTTCTCTCCCCAACCGGAGCCGTCGAAGCTGAAGCCGCCCACGGTACCGTCACCAGACACTACAGACAACACCAAGAAGGAAAGCCAACTTCTACCAACCCAGTTGCTAGTATCTTCGCCTGGACCAGAGGACTCACACAGAGAGCTAAGGTTGACGGAAATGATGCTTTAGCCAAATGGTCTGAGACAATGGAGTCATCAATCATTGAGACTATCAAATCTGGAAAGATGACAAAGGATCTTGCAATTTGCGTAGCCGGAACCTCCAGTGTTGATGAGTCAACCTACCAAACAACCAACGACTTCATCGCTTCTATCAAGACTACCTTCGATACCAACTGGAACAAGATCAAGGACACTCTTTAAGCTATAACTCCATCTTTAAAACAAGCTGTTGCGTTATTTTTGGAATGGATAGAATTTCTACAGGACGTTCAATGAATCCCTACCAATAAGGGGTTTTGGGGTTTTGGGGTTTTGGGGTTTTGGGGTTTTGGGGTTTTGGGG